TTTTATTTGTGTTTTCCAAATAGTCTTATGCCACAGATTAAGAATAATCTAAATGAATTTGAAAAATTCTTAAAGAAAATAAACTAACAAAAAATTTTATAATGGGCCCAAAGGCCCATATATTTATATTATTTTAGCATCATAAAAAAACATGTATTCCTGTTATGGGTGAAAAATTAAAACAAAGATATATGTAAATTATAAATAATTGTATTATAACCAATAGACGTATTATTAACTAAATATATAATTATATTTTCTTAAAAATATTTTTCTGTATAAATATAGAAAAATTAATTATAAAAGATGTTTTATTTCCATAAAGCTTATCTTACGATAATTTTTTCAGGGAACCAGCCCAGCTTTTTACAGGGCCAAGAACTTCGATCGTAGTACGGCGACATCCGCAATCTTCCTCGCGACCTTTGGATTATCTATGAGCATGTTCTCGTTAAAACAGATGCAGTCGTCGCATCAGCGTCGTCTGCGAAGACTTTGTTAGAAACGTCCTATTAGTCATAATTCATCAATAAACAAAATCAACGGTTATCTTGAAGAAATAAATTCATCGATTATGAAAATATGTCTGCGTGACATCATAGCGGTCGTTATTCTGAAGTCGGCATGCAGCATATATTGGGTTGAGATATTATATTTCTTCGCGTCTAGAATGTGAGTTTGCGGTTTGTACCTATGTTGTATTAGGTAATCTACAATTCCGAACAAATTTCGTGGCATATTCCTTTGTTAAAACAACTCGTTTGTTTGAAGGATCATGTCTTCGATTCGCAAACGCGCATACAAGACCGCGTGTTTCAATTACATAGAATTCAGTACTTGGTACAGATCGAGATTACAAACGAAATGGAGTTTTTGTCGAAGACAGCATCGCTTTCGAGCGAGATGTGTATGCTTCATGAATCGAATGTAGTAGCTTTTTTCTCTAGAAATGATAAAAAAAAATAAAGCTCATCACATGAGAAGAAAGAGATATTCTAGTCGTGTGAGCAAACGAGAAATGATGCAGTGAATACATTTTTACACGAATTCTTTTCCGAGAAAACTTTTGCTGTGGTAATCGATATATCATAAAACAGATTGCTTATATTACTTTGCATCATTTAGCTTAGCTTATCGATTGTTTTCGAAAATAGTTCCTTCTGATAGTCGCAACTACTGAAGCAATGTTATTTGAATTTATGATATATCGTACGTCATTTCGTTTATATTAAATAGAAACTAAAGGCAAAAATCACATCAAGAAATAACATTATAATTTATATGTGTTACCATTAAGTAATGGTTAATTCATAAAAACTATATTTATAAATACAATTACAAATTAGAATTAAATTTTCTGTTTGTATCATGAAATCATTTACCTACAATTAGCATGCTCAAAAGCAGAGCGTTTTTTTATAAATCAGTTCTGAACGAAAGTTTTCTTTGGAAAGACGACAAACTGCGTACGAACCAAAGAATTTCACTGAATGACGAGGGGGTCCGCGAACCCCCTTAGTTGAGAAGATTTTAATGTTATTACTCGAGTCATACAACTTAACATTCATCAATCAAGTATCATTGATAATGCTTGTCCCGTTTTCGTCACTCCAAAGTCGCACTGTTCTGAATTTCTATTATTGAACCTGAAGCACAAAGTGGTTAATAGTTGCATTCAATTCTTGTTACTGCATTTTATTACTGCAGTTGCTCCTCGCAAATCTCACCACAAGACGACTGCATGAAATTCGATTTAAACTATCCTCCGTGTTTTTGACAAATTAAAATGAAAACAAATTAAAATTTTAGTGAAATTCTTGCTATTCGATTCTTGCTATTTTTTTATTTTACACGACAAATACATTACTGTGCTATGATTGCTCTACAAAATATATACATATATCTGTCTGTGTCATTATTATACAAATCTGTATATTAGGATGTATTGCTACTATTTCGGAGTATTTGTAAGATTGATCATTATTTTTAATAAAACGTTGATTCAATTGGCTAGGACTTATTTTTATTAAAAATTTCTTGTTAATAATTGAGATTTACATTTAAATCCTATAGCAAAAGAGAAGGAAGCGATTACGAGGAAACACAAGATATTATAAAAGAATAATCGTAGACATTGTATCAGAATATAAAAAAATGAACAGAGTACTATTAAACAATATTATCAAAAGGAAATGTATTGCGACATCTGTCCTTTGGTCTTAACGTGTGTACATTTATTTATAATTATTATACAGTCTCAGGCTCGATATTTCATATCGTGCAATGTCTTGTCCATTCTTTCATTCTCTCTCTCTCTCTCTCTCTCTCTCTCTCTCTCTCTTTCACTCTCTCGTTTCTCATATTTTAATAAAAAAATGACGTTCATGCCGTGAAAAAACTGCGAGCCAAGAGTCCAGTTTCGTTATTTCTTATTCGCACGAATAATACAAAAATTTTCTCTTTTGCATTTTCGTCATACAAATTTATCTTCACTTATTTTTACGGCATGGACGCAATTATATCATATAAGAAATATGTCTATACACATTACATGTTGTGTGTGTCTGTGTGTGTTTTTGTAAAATCCATAGATCTTATAAGATCTATGATAGAATATTAAAGATTATAATCGTCGGGCTGCTCGATTCGAAAGTTTGTATAGTAAAGTATACAATGTGACATATATATTTTTAAATAATCCCTGCGACGGATACATGAGAAAAAAAGGGATTCAGGAGGAATCCAAAATAATTTATTTAAAATTCATAGAGGACCAAAATATATATCTTTAATAATTTTTTTCACGTTCGATTCCCGCTTTTTTCTTAAAGACTGTTGTTTTTTTAAGGACTAGAATTAAAGATTACTGGGATTAGAAATTTGATTTCGCGATCAAAAGAAGGCATTTCATCAGGATTCTTTTTACAATATTTTTCGTAGATGGTAAAAACGTATAAAGGGAGTTGAAAGAAGGAAGGCTGTACTTAAAAGAAAAAGAAAGAAAAATAACGCTAGTAAATGAAATCCTCGATAAACTCTTGATAGATGAAACAAAATTATTTTACATCGCTTTACGAAATTCCTCGCTATACTGTGCCTGTTCTGGAGAAGATTAATTGACAAACGCAATCGAGTAGAACATTGCCTCCTTCTCGAAGCTGGATACAGTTATCACAGTTATCCTCCATACAATGATAGCGCGGTGCAATATATTATGCACGTAGCGCAGCGATTTTCTTCTTCTTCCGTCTAATAATATATAATTATTAATTATATATTATAAATATTACGTGAGAATAAATGATATGTCACAATGCAGGATGCGCTCGATCTTTTTTTATCGGGTCTGCATCCTTCGGTCACGAGAATATGAGAATACGAAAATACGAGAGCGCGACGGGGAATTCTTGGATAAAAGGCAAAGAAGATAATTTCATCATTCCGTCGTCCCTGTGCACGATGGAACGCTACGAATTGCTACGAATCGCGAAAATTACGATGCAATATCGATTGATATGCGAGAGGGGATTGCGATTAAGAGAACCGCGGAAATCGACATTCTGTTGAATATTATTAATCAATGATCAAGTCGAATATCTCAACACGGTTACGAGAGACGAGCTGGAACTAGCTTGGACAAGATGGCTTCATTCCTTTGTATATACTTTGTTAATTATCATCTTAATGATACTCTAATGGCAGTCTGTTCTAGTCTGTGCAGGGAGATAAGTGCCTATGAAAAATGTCAAAAATCCGGTTTTTGACAATTCACGAATACGACATCGATTGGTCGATTCTTTCGCAGGTCACAAGGTATCATACATCATATCGGCCGGGCTCATTTAATGTGATTCAACGACAGCGTGAACTGGCGTAAATTGGCATGAATCGAGGAAGGAGAACATGCGTGTACGTATGCATACGTAGTATGTATATATCGCCAATATGTATATCGCGCGTGCGCGCGCGCGCATGTGTGTGTGTGTGTGTGTGTGTGTGTGTGGTGAGACTGACAATGAAAAGGAGAACAACATAACATTCAATATCGCGATGAACGATCGGTGTAACTCGATTACGAGCTGCCCAACGATTGAGATAAATTGAGAATTGAGATACATACGCAGTATGCCGCGGACTTTCGTCAACTTTCGCAGAGTCGTGTATTTGTCCAGACTTCCCCGCATTTGTCGTCGGGCTTTCATTTATGTTCAAAATACATCGCCCACAAGTATCCGTTTATCTTCTTTCCATGTTTCTCAAAGTAGGTGACAATACAGACGATACAGGCGTAAAAAGAAATCTTTTTTTTAATGCGCGGATGGCCATCAATCAACGTGGACAAACGTAACCGATTCGACCGAAAATCCTGTAAAGCTAACTGGAATGTGCTAAGGAAATTAGGCGATCGAGTTATACGGCGGATAAAGGAATATTTATGAGCGATGTGATGCAAAAGTTGATGACGCGTGACAGAAATATATATACGGTAAGAAAATAAATCTTGGACTCTCCCTTTTAATAATCGTGCCTACATCTGTTCTCGACTTCCCGCTTCTGTCGATTTAACGAGATGCTCCCGCGAGAGATAAGCCTGGCGCGCTTATTTAAGGAATTAAGCTACAAAGCGGTACAGTCGCTTTCTCATCTCTCTCTCTCTCTCTCTCTCTCTCTCTCTCTCTCTCTCTCTCATATTCACATTGTATACTTCTCTCTTCAAAACTCTCATCTATCTATCTCACTACAAGTCAAATCATATATATATAAATTCAACGCGACAAGACTGGATAGCATTTCGAGTACACGCAGCCGAATATATCGGACAGACTTAAGATTCGTATTTTTTGAAAATATCACCTCGTACAATGCTAATCGCCTGTCAGATGTTATTTATATTCGTTTTATTATTTATATTCGAGTTACGGTATTTTCAAATTTCACGGTCTATTATCCTGTCCAGCCCTGGCGCCGATAGCGTAAAAAAAAACATAACACGTTTGCCTTTCATCCATCCAAAATTCAATCGGCCTGATCGTCTGATCATCCTGATTCATCTTAAATTTATTCAACAATCGTTATCATTGCGCTCGCGCATTCAATCGTCATTCGAAGAACGATGATACTCGCAGACAAAACCGCTAATAACTCTTCGCTACTTCTAACAGAGAAGCCTCGTCGCGTTTTATTGGCTATGAAACAAGAAAAAATTGCTCAAGTCGTTTCTTTGCGTGTAAGACGCGTGTAAGACATTTGCAAGTCTGACAAGGTGAGAAATCTGAAATTCGTAATTTGTAACAAATTACGAAGGATGCGAACGAGCCGATTGACATTTCCAGTTAAATTATGTAGGAACATATTCATGATAGAATTAATAGATAACTAATCACCTAAATCTTATTTTGTAAATCTAATAATTTATTAAATGACAATAATTAATTAAACTTTAAAACACGACTGATCTTAAATTTTTTAAGATCAGTCATCGCGCTGTCCCATTTACCCGCAATTATCTCAATCGACTTGAACTGAAAGTAAATGTTCAAAGATTACTCCAAGATTATCATATGGTAAATATCATTGCAGTAAAAGGACGAAAGAAAAACGGAAGGCTATTGAGAAATTGCATTCCTCTTTGAAATGCACGTTCAAACGACATTTTTCATCCCGTGACAACTTAAGGATTCATTTTTATGCGTTTTACATTTCTTATCGAAGATTACGATGCGAGGTGCATAGGATATTCCTGTGTGTGCAATAACGAAACGGTCCCTCAAATTGAACAGCTATAGCGATCGAAATAAACATAATTATGTTAAATTTTAACTCTACAGACATTAAATGTCAAAAATAAATTTTCGTCGATTCGATCGATATTACTTTGGAATAATTAGGCGTAATTGAGTACAAGAACGTGGAAATCGGAACTCGTTTCTCATTCGCATTCACTTCTTTCAATTGATCATCGGCCGACTCAGTGGCAATCTGAAGGATAGATTAAGTATCCTTTACGATATCATCGCCACGAGTTTCGCCAACGATAGACTGCGATCGATGTATGTATTTTTTGCTTGCAAGAGGCCTCATAGATAGTCATCAAAGTCGCACATCTCGTACGCCCTGCAAATATTTGTGTCCTGATTGACAACATAGAGCCAGTGCCGATTCATATACGAATAATTATCTCCGTCAATCTCGGGTAGTCGTGTGTACGAGTTATAAAATGGCGAGTTGTTTAGTTCATTTAATTCCGGCCTGTTGCTGCGATCTCAAACATCTAATCGATGCTCTGTAGCAATCTGAGGCCGTCGTTCTGCCGGATTCACCAACTCTTCTGAATAATGGGTTACATGCAAAACGATTGAATTACTATGAATGGTTGCAAACAAGCAGAGCCAGACTTGGCTGGACAAGTCCCGCGATTCTTAAACGACATCGACTCATTCAGATGGAGTTTTTTCTTGTTCTATCCTCGCATGTCTCTTCGCAGGCATTTTCTTTCTCAACCCATTTGTTGGAACGCGATGACTTGCTGTTGCCTACGATTTCGTCGATAACCTTCGAGATATTACTCCCAAATTCATCTACGGTCGAGCTTAATCGGTTCGCGAGTGTCGATTCCTTTCTCTGTCTATCCTTTTCTCCTTACTGTTTTACACTTTCTTTTCTGCGTACTCTGTATGTCTTTGTAGCGTTCTGTCATCTAATTCCATTCGTCGAAATGTAACTCGCGCGGCATTCCACAGGGCTTGCTCAATTAGGATTAAGTGTATCTTTGCGCGAGCATTTTCACAAAAAAATCCTTGACAGGCAAAAGGAATCGATTCGTAGTTTAATTGGTTTATTCGTTGGAGTTTTTTCTTCTGTTTACCAAGTCAGTGTTGTTTCTTGAAACACTATGATCTTCCAGATATTTAGTCGAGGAAACACTACCAACGATCTGCTCAACGATTCTTCATTTTTTTCAAAGAGCGTTACTTCCTCATTCCTTCAAATTTTTTATTCTCGCTGAGTTGTCGCTTTCACATTGAGTGAGGTGGCTTGAGATGATCATCGGCACAGATTAAAAATGAATTATTCCCGCGAATCCGTTTTCCGAATTGATCCAGCGGCCATTACCTATCGGTCTTTTGTCCTTCTGAAGCTCAGAAACATATGGTTGCGTATACTGCAAAGTGCACTGCGCATTGCTACCTGTGTTACGATCCATCGCTATCGTGTCAACACTGTGAACTGATACGCCCGAAAATCGAAACAGATATTGTAGACGAGAATAATATTTCAAAAATTGCGTTGCTCGCCAGCTTCATCGGCCTTATCCGATTAACGAATTTCAAAATTTAGAATAATTGTCATTCCTGCCCGGTACGGATATTGAATTCCTCGTATCGCGGTCGTCGATATATCGGCCATAAACACATCTCGACAAAACTTAAAGATCTTGATAACATTTTTAAGACATTGATTTTTTTCTCAAGAAAAACAAATGTGTTTTGTTAATATGTCTTTTTTTTCTGTGAAACATTTAACCACTCTTGAATAATTAAGAAAACGCACTTCATTCTTCATTCTTATTCCTCTCTCAGACGGTCTACTTCTTTTAACTTTTTTCTGAAGTTAACTGATAATCTTCACAACATTACAATACGATCTTATTTACAGATAATATAATTTGTTTGCACATAGTTCTGTAGACAAGGGACTAATCTCGCTGAAACTTAAATTTTCCTGTCAAGGTGAAAGCGCTATGCTTTCATATTCGGGGAATTAACTCGAAAAAGGATGCCAATCGGAATGCAGGTGAAAAGTGTCAGAATATATTTAAAACTTGGAGAACATCCAGGATTAAGGCGCTTCACATACAATTGATAATTATTTTTTCGCGATAACCGTATAGGCAGGTAAATGGTATTAATTATAATTTCTAATAATGTTTAAAGCAAATATAGCAGATTTCAGAGTTGCAAGAGAGAGTTAATGCGATAAGGATAAGTTTTCGTGGCATTCTAAATATATATCTGGTCAAAAAAGATAGAGAGGATAAGAAGACACATTTGGGTATTCGTAACAATAATTTAGATACATGTACTGTTACCTGTACCGATCGATAAGGCAAAATTTATTCATTTGGTCCAAGAGATCTAAGAGTAAAAAAAAAAGAAAAAGAAAAAATACAACATACGAATTAAATATATTAAATAATATGTGTGTGTGTATGTGTGTGTGTGTGTGTGTGTGTGTGTGTGTGTGTGTGTGTATATATATATATTATATATATACATATATACATATACACACATATATATATATATATACATATACATATATATATTTTTACATAACAACAGGGTGAATACTCATAAGCAATTAAATGTACATAGTCCGAGTGAATCGTACAGCGCGTATTGTTAATTTACTAGAAAATACATATCAATGTTTTCTTGATATAT